ATTGGGCATTAGGGTATTTCAGAGATCAATAAACAAAGGAAACATGAAACAAGGAATTCAACAATTAAGAACCGTTCTTGAACATGAACACATTTAGACCAATTCTCTTTGAAGACATTAATCACTAAATTTGACTATTCGATTACTAAACTTTCGCATGCAATTTCCTAATCAAATTCGCATTACCAAACAAGTTCATTTAGTTCACAATGCGTCCTAACGTCAACTTTCGTTGGCTAGAAATACATTGCTCAATTCACATTCTTTCAGGCATTCTATCGAACACTTTTGATGCATAGAAAAACCTAGGTTCTACAACAGGTGATCAATCCTATTCTAACATTAAGAACATGTGAATCAAAGAACCTAAAGAATGAAATTCCTAATAACAATCAATCCATTAATCCATTGAATCTCCTAATTAGAACCCTAAAACCCAATTAAAAGACTACTCACACATAACAACAGAAACAAGACAAATAGATTGAAAGGAAAGCATAATTGAATTGATAAATAAGAATAAAGTTTTAGAAATCTTCTCCAAAGTGTCAAAGAGGATGAATCTCTAGAATCCCAAAAAGCTTACAAAGAGAAGTCTCAAAAGTTGCAGAGAAAAGAACGTAAAAAGAAAATTAGGTCTCTGGGGTTTTTATACCCAAGTACAAAAAAAGGAAGACAAAACCCGGTTTAGGAAAACCGTCTCGGGACGTCGAGGCTCGGATCGATCGATCCCATGGGTGGATCGATCGATCCAGATATGCTGAATCAATTGGTCTTGGACGGATGATGCTGGATCGATCGATCCCCCCTGGTATCGATCGATCCCGAAGCTCCTGGAGTCAAGCTCTGCACCTGCTTCAAATGCTCGCCAGATTGACCTGTCTTCACTAATTTGGGTATAACTCTTGAATGCACCGTTAGATTTCCTTCAAAACACTTGGAAAATCAAGCTAACATCTTCATCTAGCTTGTATAAAAAATTCAGAAAGATCTAACTGTGGGAAGTCTTCCATCTGAGGCCAAACGTTTGATACTTCTAACCGAAACTGCATCTCCAAATGTGTGTTTATATCCCAAAACAGCTCGTTTTCCTCCGAAGCAACCTAAAACCTGTAAAGACTCGATAAAAGACTAAAAGACTCTAAAAACACACTTTGACGCTTTAAAATATATGATCTAGGAAAGAAAACAAAGACTCAAAACCGATAAAAACACAACATATCAGTAGTGATAATGGTTTGATGATGATGCCATTACAAAAAAAAAAAAAAATTTATCTTGTTTTGATCTTGAGGAGAAATCGAGTATAGAAACAAGAGAAGTGAAGTGTTGCTTTCGTTTCTTTGGTTTTGCATTACAAAAGAAGCATATATATAGGAAATGAGATGACAAGCTTTGTGTTACCCGTGATTGTTAAATTTCTTTGCATGTGACTCATTTGTGTAAGAAGAATATCATAATAACGCCCATGTGACTCCTTTGTATACTTAACCCGTGACACTACAATGTGAAAGACTATGATGCTTGTAAACTTGTTAGTGATGACCCGCGACTCATTTGTGTAAGAAGAATATCATAATAACTCCCATGTGACTCCTTTGTATACTTAATCTTTTTATTTAAAGCACTTGATAATTTCAGAAACCAAAAGGTTACAAACAAAGGATACAAACAGATTAATATATAGATAGCAATTCAAAGCGCAACAAAAGCCGAGTTGATGAAACAAGAACAGACATAGATGAATACATAACAAATTAAAGCAGAAATTCAAACTTAGATACTAAAATAAGAAATACAAAGTTGCATCTTAAGTGAATACATCAATCTAAGAAATACTGAGCCACTATCTTATCCTTGATAACTTGATCAACTGCACTAAGTGGCTCTGGCTTGGCAAGAAGTGTGTCTAGTATGTCAAGCTTCTGTAGCTTCTCCTTTTCAGCCATATCCACCTTCTTTAGTTCCCACATGCTCTTGTACGTACTCAGCAAGAGCCTTCCCCTAAGCATTGTTCCTGCTGGCCTTTGCAGCCTTGACACCTTGAGGCCTTTTCTCAAAGTCTTGCTCAGTGTGGGTTGCCTCGGATTGTGAAGCTTCCTCAACTGGTCTCCTCTTTGTTCTGCCTTTAGGTGTAAGATTGTTAATCTTGTTAAGGTCCAGGAATTTCTGTTCAAACCTTAACAAACACCAGCAATGGTTCATTGTAAACTTTGTCTTGTGGTCAGAGATGTAGATGTCATGAGCCATCTTCAGCACATCGGTCTCAGAATGTCCACTACTGTTTCGTCTCTCTGCAGTTGCATATGCCCCGCAGAACTTGTTAGTGAAGTCATTGATCTTGAACCACCTTTGCTTACAGTTTATGTTCAGCCCCTGTTCACCATTGGCTATAGCATGGGGAGACTCTGCATAGTATTCTCCGACCCTTTGCCAAAAGCTTCCTGCCTTTTGTTGGTTTCCAATAATCAGGTCCTTTGAAGTGTTCAGCCATACACTGATAAGAAATTCATCGTCAGCCGGATTCCATTTCTTCCTATCCTTCCTGACAGGTGTCTCTTGAGAAAGCGGTGCATCCTGGGATTGTTGAGAGCTCCAAGTTGGTATTTCTGAAGCACCATTGTGGCCAGCAGGTGGAAAACTCTCATCAGGAGAGTTTTCTTGGTTAAGTGATTCTTGTTGACTGTTGAGCAGCTCTAAATAACTAGAGGAATGACTGAATGGAATGTAAGAACTCATAGGAAGAAGAGTTGTAGGTGATGAGGAAAAGAGTGAAGACTGGTTTGGTGTTCTCCAAAGAAAGGTTATTGGTTTACCAAAGAAGAGAGATAGAAGATGATGGATAAAGAGTGAAGGCTAGTTGGTGTTTAAAAGATGAAAAGGTATCAAGTAATAAATTACCATTCATAATGACCTATCTTTGAACTACCTAAGTCTAATCACAATTTAAGACACCTTACACAAGTACAAAGCATTCAAGTACAGTTTTAGAACAATGTTATAACAATCCGATTACAAGAGTAATGGTTTAGCAGAGTTTTAGAACTTATCAATTATACATCACACCAGATCAACGACAAACAAAGCATTTAATGGTGAGTCACACAATCCTATTAACTAGATTAGTTTCTGTAACTAGATAATACTAAACCAAACACAAACAAGCACCAACACCAAAATAATCATATCATGTACAAGTTACAACCAAAGACAGACAAACAGATTAAAAACATACTTCCCTACTCTCAAACAATGATGTTTCTGAGATACTAAACTTGCCAAACCCACCAACAAAATCCAAAATCAATGTAAATCTAAACTTTCATACAACCTAAATCGAGAACAAAGCCAAATCCAAATACAGAAACCTAAATCGAATGTTGGATACAAACAATAAAATAAATCGAAACTTGGAGACAAACACACATCCGCAAATCGGAAATCAATAACTAAACCCTAATAAATTTGATTTCGCCAAACATACAATAACAAACACAACGACTCCAACCAAACCCAGCCACCTATACTTCAAAAAACTTCGATACTCACAAGAAATCAACCAAATCTCAAATCGGATTTTGAATTTCGAACACATACCTTTCGATTCGAACCAGCGGAGAAGCTCTCGATGATAGAACAGATCGTTCTACCGAAGATATCAAGGAGAGGAGGAAGATTTCTAGGTGAAATCGACGGCAAACGGTTCGGGGATTGAATCGCCAAGAAATCGCCGTCGACAGCTTCGGAGAAGATGAAATGAATACCCTAGCACCCGATAAACGAGTCTCCCCTCAAAAAACATGCGACCAATCTCGAAAGAACACGTGGCAGTGAGGGACAGTAAGAAAACGTTCCCATAAACGGGAACGGTTCTATGTTAAATAAGGGTTTTTGATTTAATTTTTAAAAATAAATTGGATGGGACGGGTTTTAAAGCTGCCGCTGCAAGTGCTCTTAGTTCTCTCTGTTCTATAAAGGGCGTTTAATGATTTCTCCACCACATAGCAACATTCCATGAATACCTCGTCATTGAGCTTGATTGTGCCATTTTTTTTGGGCTTTACTTCCCAATAAAGAACGTAGTGACCTGGTAGAGTAGAGATATCAGCATAACTTGTGTAATCCATCAACATAAAATCCGATGATTGTAGAACGAGAGCTTCCCCTGATTCACCGCCTTTAAAAGATCTACTTCTGTTGTTGCTTCTGTTTGGATACTTATAACCACATTTTTCCTTCGTGAGAATCTAAATTGAGGTGCGTTGTTATGAAATCCTGTCACTTGCAAAACATCATCCACTTCATATCTGTATAAACCTAGCAAAAAAGTATATAATACCATTAGCTTAATTAGAAAAATATATAACATTTTTCATAATATATATATAACTCACCAGAATAATTTGTGAACAATGGCGCATAGTAGCACCCTAACTTCACGTTCACAAGATCAACAATTTCTTTCTTGTTATCTTCATTAACTGGTACGAACTCAAAGTATGCGATATTGGGCATAAATGTGTAGGAAACATCTTGGGGCTTGCATAGAGGATTCACATTAATCCCAAAATATGCTTCAGATGACGCATAAGCCGTGGAAATGAGAGGCAATTTGTTGGAGTAAAACTCCAATGCTGGGACATATTGAGCCATTTGACCTGTAATAACGCTTTCAATAAATTTAGCATTGGGCCAAAGTTTTCGGATTATACCTTCCCATTAGGCCTGGGACTTCGGATTAAACCGAACAAACCGACCCGATTAAACCGAGAATTTCGGTTATCGGCGTAAACCGAAGAGAGAAATCAAACCGTTCGGCGAAATTAATTTGGTGAATCGGAAGTCGGTTCGGGTCGGTTCGGTTATCGGGCCGATCGGTTTAGTAGTTTTAGGCAGCCCTATCTATTTCTACTAAATCAACCGTCATTTTAACAAAAACTGACACACTCTCCTTTTGACATGTGACAAAACTCTCAAATTTTGTTGTTTTACTTTCGTAATCCATTCCTATTATTTCTGGAAAAAATTAACAAAAAAGAAAAACAAAAAATATCTTACCACTTTCTTAGTAACTGCTCATTCCCCACGATCTCAAAATTATCCCTTCCTTCCAACTCTCTCCCACTTTAATTGACGAAATCACTGTAACTTCTTCTTCTTCTCTTCTTTTTCATAACCTTAGATCCTCCATTCTTTCTTCTAAATCCTCCATTCTTTCTCATATCTTTTTTTTAAATGAGAAGTCGAGAACCATCCACTATCTTTTAATTTTTTGTTTTATTTTAAATCTATGTTGAATATAAAAAAACAGTTTCTAATCAGGCCTCAAAATCGTCTTTCATGCCCGATCACGAGTATAATGGCTCCATCAATTCCCGGTCCATCCTCAGCGACTGTTCAATTCAAGTAAGTTTTGAAAACAAAGTTTGGAAGATTAACGTTCAAGTCATGATTGATTTATAAGTAATTCCAATCATTTTTTTGTATGCTTAATTTCTATCTTCTAATTCTTCATACTTTTTTCATGATTGTTGGGCGTGCTCACAAATCACAATGGTTATTTTCGATTCAGCTTTATTAAATTTTACTCATTTGAATGTTATCTCTGATTTTCTTTTTTTTTTGTGGCCATCTAATTAAGTTTTTTTTGGTTTCTATATCTCAGAAACTTGGTTTGCAAGCGTGTCTGAAAAATTAGGAGATGGAGCAAAGACTTTCCACAACCAGTAACGTATAGATGACTTTATATTAATAATTATGTAGTATGCTCACAAAGTTTGTCCGTCTTCCATCAATAATTTGTTTGTTTCATATTTTTTGAAATTTAACTAATTAGATAATAGATTCAATGAACTTCTATTTAAAAAAAAACTAAAGGCAACATATATTTGATTCCCAAAATATTTTGATATATGGTCTAAATTGGCATTAATTGTCCCTGCATAGCAGGGCCAGAATACTAGTATAACTCTAAACCTAAGTCATTAACCCTAATTTTTCACTTATCTTCTTCTTCGTCTCCGCCTCCTGCGATTCTCTCGAGCTCGTCTCTTTCTCTTCTTCTTCTTCTTGTTCTTGTTCGTCTCCAACACATCTCGTCTCTTCTCCTTCATCACTTCATCTTCATCATCCCAAATCCGCAACCCTTTTTCACATAAACTCAACCTAGAATTTCGAAGAGGTCAGTTCTTTGCTTCTTTCGATCTTCTTCGTTTGATTCTGCTTCTAACTGATTCCCTCAACCAATCCGCCGTCGATGAACTTACTGACATAAGGTTCGTTTTCGGATCTAAGTATTGGTGTTAGTTGATTGTTTTCGTAAGTCTCGTTTTTTCGATTTCTAGATCCGAGACTTCGTGATTATTTCGACTGATTTTAGTTGTTTTCTTTCTTGTTTCAGTGATATTGCGAGAGACAGACTCATCCTCGTTCAACACAACCTCGATTAAAGCTAGAATAAGACAGTCGGAGCTTGCCGTCGCTGAGACCGCCGCACACAGTCGATCATGCAACCACACTTATTTTTGTCAAAACCCTAATATTTTATTGGGTTGGGCTATAAACTGTATGTTGGGTTTTTGTTAAATGTATATTGGGCTTTTTATCTAATTTGTAATGGTTTTTTTAATTCGATTTGTAATAGTGCAAATGTCTTTTTTTTTAACAAGTAAACCGAAATTGAAACCGATCAAACCGAAGAAATAGAATTCGGTTCAATTTCGGAACATAAATTTTAGCCAAAAAACGACCCGAACAAACCGACTTCCGAACCGAATTTTAATTTGGGTCCATTCGGTGGAATTTTTTGAAAACCGAATTTTCCCCAAACCGAATAACCCGACCCGAATAACCCGACTAAACCGAACTCCCAGGCCTACTTCCCATGATTTTTGGCTACAATTTTGTTCTATAAAATCCGCCAATTCGGGATTAGGTCCTCTAAGTATCATAGAGACTGACACTCTGCAACTAAGGTCAGTGATCCACTCGCTAACTTGACCTGATCGGATATTAGTGCACAATTCTTTCCATAAATTTTCAAGAAAAGTGATTGCTCGAATTAAGACTGAAGAAAAGATAGCCCCCACTCTAACAACATCTTCTCTTTGGGCAAGACCACAGAGGAGGTGACAATACATACTCTGTTTTTGGTCTGGACACCAAATGACTTCATTAGAACTTGTGTATGAGTTATACCAGAAGTGAGGAAACTGGAACTCACTGTCGTCAAACAAGTCCACAAAAGTTAGAGAACCAAGTATAAATTTTAATTTACCAATCATGATAAATATGCTTTTAATAATTTAAATAAAAAGAAGAATTTTAGTGTATACCTATCAATGAATCCAGTATTAAGTAGAGCTGAAATCTACGGTCTCTCTACGGTCTCTCTACGGTCTACAGTATTAAGTAAAGCGTTGGAGATACTCTGTGTTCGGTCTAAATCTAAGATAAGACGTTTTTCGTCCCAAATTCGTGGTATATATGAGATGGGACGGATTTTCAGTTCTAAAATCGATATGCCTATTTTCTCTAAATTTTTTTTTTTGTAGTTATCTTTACTGATAACAGGAACATATTCGATTAATTTTTTTGTGTAAACCAAATCAAAACTAAATCGAATACCAAAATGAAATGAGTTCGGATTATGAATGCTATATTAAATAAATACGTCTATATATAATAACTCCGCACAAACGTGCTGGTCCAGATCTAGTTATAAGTTAAGTTTTTAACTTTACATGAATCGTGGTCCGCGAGGTGATATATAATAATTATCACTTACCACTTTCTTAATTGTTTGTCGTTAATGAGCGGCCATATAATTTAAATTTCTAATATTTTATTTCTGTCCTCGAGGATCTCAAGTTTTTATAATACAGGTTTTGATAAGATTAGTGAATAAACAAATATAACAATCATAATTTATTTTCGGAGCTTTCTGTTAGTGGTGTTTAATTTTAATCAGTTTTGACTTTTGTGTAATGGGCCGAAGCTTAAATCATTAATCACAAAATTAATATATATATAATCATACTATCTTTAAGAATCATAATGTGGTTAGCGAGGGAATAAAAATATTAACATATTGTTGAGATGAAATTTTTGGGATCTTTGAAATGATTGAATTTATTTGTACCATAATAATATTTTATAAAATTACTTACAAATGACCAAGATGCATATGATTATTATAAAAGAATAATCTAGAATTTAAAAGAAATAACAAAAAATTTTGAATTTAGATAATCTTTTATAATAACCTTTTAAAATAAAATTCGTACAGAAAAATTATGTCTACCTCTACAAGATACATTAAAACCTCTATAAATTAACAATATTGGGACCAATGTATTTTACTAAATTTTATTAATTTATCTTGTTTATTAATTTATAGAAGTGATATTTGGGCTAAAATATTAACTTAGAACCGGAGAAAATTATTACTTTAACTAGGTATGAATTTTATAGAGTTTTAACTTATGTACTATAAATACTAAGTTTTTTACTATGCTATTCATCACCATCATCATTTTCTCAACAATTACCAATGAAAATTACTAAATTACCAATCTTCTATATATTAAAAGGAAAAAAGTATTTTTTTTTATGTGACAAGCCCACATTTTTCTCAATCTTTTTTTTTTTAGTTCCAAATACTTTTAATTATAATATCATTATACTTATTATTCTAAAACTAAAACCAAACACCCTAACATTAAATAAACGAACCCAAACATATATATATATTTATTTTTCAAATATAATTTCTGTATAAAGATTCTTGAGAAATTGTTAAGAATGCCATCTTTCTTATACCCTTTTTTAAAACTGCCCTTTTTTGCTTACCATTTTTAAAAATGCCCCTTAATTATTTCTAATATGACTAAATTACCCTTCCTTTCATAACCTAAGAACTATCGGTTCCCTCATCTCTTCTCTCTCTCTCGCTCTCTCACGTTGATCGGCGAGTATTCCGATTTCAAATCTCGATTCCGATTTCAAATCTCGATTCCGATTACAGATCTCGATCTCGCTCTCATTTCAGATCTATTCTCTCTGTTCCGAATTCGCTTTTCCTTCTGTTTTCGAGTCCCACATCGATTCCAGGTTAGATTCCTCTTCTGTCCCCTTTTCGTTCAGTTTTCGAGTCCCACATCGATTCCAGGTTAGATTCTTTGTAAGGTTTGTCTTTAGAGGTTAGATTCTGTGGTTATGTGGTTCTGTTTTGAAAGGTTTGTCTTTTACAGGTTAGATTCTGTGATTCTGTGGAAGGTTTTTCTTTTAGAAGCTTTTTTGATATCATTTTTGACTATTAATGATTGATTTTACTACTTGATTTTGAATTCTGGATTTTACAACATTTTTTAAAGGTCTTATATGCTTTTTAAAGGTTTGTTTCTCTTAAACTTTTTTGCTTTTGTTTTTACTGGATATGGTTTTATACTTTTAATGCTTGGTTTTTACGCAGATGTCTAACAATGACCCATTGGATTTTACAACGTATTTTAAAGGTTTTACATTCTTTTTAAAGGTTTGTTTTTGACTGTTAATGATTTTAGTGCTTCAACTTTGTGTATATCATCTCTGATTTATTCAACTTCTGGATTTTATAATGTGTTTTAAATGTTTACATGTTTTTTTAAAGGTTTGTTTTTACTGTTAATGATTTTAGTGCTTCAACTTTGTGTATATCATCTCTGATTTATTCCACTTCAAACGTTTGGTTCCATGACAAATGGCACAGACTCTCAGCTAGCATAGGTCCTTGCAGATTGAAACAAAACACCTCAAGACCAGCATCCTCGATGTAGTCAATCACGTAAAGTCGCTGCAGTTTTGGGCATTGCTAAGAAGCTTGACAAGATGAATCAAACATGTCCAAACTCTCCTAACTCGTCTTCTGATACGATTCCATTAGTTGGAATAGAAGAAAATTTGATGATCATTTCGTTACATGTTGTTATGTACCAAAAAGTTTTTACTCAACTTTTATGTGTCTTTTGTAAGTTTGTAACTTAAGAAAATTCCATGTAACACTATTGATTGTTATATTTAGTGCTTTAATTGTTAAAGTGATTGCTATTATTATACAAGTGACTCAATGTGGCTCAATACATGTGATTTGATGAAATAGTGAAGTTAAACAATGTATTTTAAAGGTTTTACAATGTATTTTAAAGGTTTTACAATGTGTTTTAAAGGTTTTACAATGTATTTTAAAGGTTTTACAATGTATTTTAAAAGGTTTTACAATGTATTTTAAAGGTTTTACAATGTGTTTTAAAGGTTTTACAATGTATTTTAAAGGTTTTACAATGTATTTTAAAGGTTTTACAATGTATTTTAAAGGTTTTACAATGTATTTTAAAAGGTTTTACAATATATTTTAAAGGTTTTACAATGTGTTTTAAAAGGTTTTACTAGATATTTTAAAGATTTTACAAGGTGTTTTAATGATTTTACAAAGTATTTATACGGTATAAGATGAGTTATAAAACTTTGAAAATATTTTATAAAGGTTTTATAAGGGTTTTAAAATTTAAAGATTTTACAAGATATTTGAAAGGTATTTGAAAGGTTTACAAGGTATTTTAAAAGGTTTACAACATGTATTTTAAAGGTTCGACAACATATATTTTAAAGGTTTTACAAGGTATTTTAAAGGTTTTAAAAGGTTTTACAAAGTATTTTAAAGGTTACGTGAATTTTAAAGGTTTTACAAGGTATTTTAAAGGTTTGACAACATGTATTTTAAAGACTTTACAAAGTATTTTACGGTTAGCGGAAAAAGAGGCACAATTGTGGCAATCTGCACAAATTGAGCTCATAAATGCAAATCAGGGACCTGTGGATTTGGTAACTCGGTCTCGAGTGAGGACTGCCTCACTTGAAGCAATTTATTCGGGATACCGCTGTTTTGTGGATGGATCATGGAAAGAAAGTGATAAGTTCTCCGGCACATGATGGTTTTGTACATCATCAAGTGGAGAGCCGCCAACCATGGGAGCTGCCAACATCCGTATGAGTCTATCTCCATTACATACCGAAGTCGAGGTCCTTCTCTGGACGATGAAGTGTATGATTGGCGCATATAATCAGGAGGTAGCGTTTTTTACAGACTGTTCTGACCTGGTGAAGATGGTGTCTTCTCCAACCGAATGACCGGCGTTTTCAGTGTATTTGGAGGAATTTCAGAGCGACAAGGAAGAATTCTTAAGTTTTTCTTTATCTTTAATTTCTCGTAGAGCAAATGTTAAAGCGGACTCTCTGGCACGAAAAGTTCGTACAGAACCGCTTCACATCACATATGTAAACAACATTCCTCAGGAATGGCTTTTCTGAGTATTAATTAATTTCGGATGACAAAAAAAAAAAAAAAAGGTTATACAACGTGGATTCAAAAGAGTTTACAATATATTTTAGATCACATCCACAACACAAATCACAATTGTTGTTCTAAAGTTCTTAAGAACACAAATCAGAAACACCAAAACCACATAAAACTCAAACTAATCAATATAACATCAAGTCTTAAGATCTTCTCCAGTCTTAAAATTTTACACAGGTACCCATTAGGCCATTATGCAAGAAGCCTTTCTTCTCCGGGAAACAAAAAATGTAATCCACTGCACATAAACAATAATCTAATCCCATGATTCATCACTCTGCAGCAAAAACAACAATCGATTTTGAAATCACAACTGACAAAACTGAAACTGTGAAATAAAACTTAAACCGAAGAAGAAGAGATTAAAGAGGATTTTTTGTGTGATTACAGAAAGTTGAGAAACCAGATCGAGGAGATTACACAGTTAGACCAATTCTTAATCCTATTCTCCACCAAATCGAGAAAATAGATAAACACATAAGCGAATCTCTTAAAAATCAATTGATGGACTAACTCAATTCAGATATGTGAAAGAGGTAATGACAGATTGAGGCAGACTCGGATCTTGGACTGCGGACACAAATCGATGACCAAATCGACTACGACGACGACGATAAATGAAGGATATCCTCGCCGATTTAACTCCCGGCGAAGCTCTGGTCGGCAAAGATGAAGATTCTCGACAGATTGAAGATGAGGTTTTTGTCTCGTCGGTGGTGTGGTGACAGGAGACGGCGTGAATATAGCACATGGCATCGTCCGACGACGGTGAAGATGACATGAGATTGACCTTTTGTTCGTCGGCGGTGAAGGTGATGAGAGCTGCCGAGATTTTTTGTTCGTGCTTGTCTGGGGAACAATTTTGTCTTTTAGGTCAAAGCCTCATTAAGGGTAAAATGGTCAATTTCAGGGAAGCTATTAGGGAGAGAGCATTTTTGAAAAGGGGTATTGAAAAAGGGGCATTTTTGTGAGTCTCCCAAGATTCTTTATGAATTATGTGCGTTAAAGTTTTAGGAAATAATTTTTTTTATATATCTATACTAGTATTTTTGCAACACTTTGGTGACGGGTGGGTAAAAATACTTCCGGGTATATCGGATATCCGACCCGTTTTTAAAATTTCTTCACAAAAAAATTTATTGGGTCGGGTTATATTTAACCCAACTCATACACCGGATATTTCATATTTAATAATTTAGATATTTAGAAGATTTGATTAAGATTTAGAATTATGATTCTCCTATCATATTTGTTAGATTTGTTTTTAACTGTTTTGAATCATCATATAATCCATAAAGTAAAAAAAAAAATCAATTTTTTTTCTGCATATACTGTGATTCAAAATTTTAAAAACGGACATATATTATCCAATTGACGAAAATGTGTGTTCAACGTTCTACATCGATTAAAATATTTAGACAATGATTCAATATCATATCATAAATAAGATCAACATTAATAAATAAATGAGTTTTTGGCTGGACGGGTTTGGCGGGACGGGTTTTTGAATCAACAATAATAAAAAGATTAAAATATCATTAATCCGCCGCTTCAATACGGATTAAATCCTTATTTTTTTTAATACCACCAATATTAGACATATTAAATCAGTCTCATTTAGAAAAGATTGTATAAAACTAAAAATTGTCCCGTTGTATAATCATATATATAAAAGTTGGTCAACTCTCTCCATATGAGTGCCACATCATCACATAGGAAAATGACATGTGTCATTCTAAATTATTTAAATAAAAAAATTAGCAAAATTAATTGAGAGAAAATCAAAAGTCTTTTGTTGTGTTAAATTCTCTATTAATCTCACTCTTAATTGATTTTTTAAGAAACTAAAAAATAAAGTAAAAGATCATACTAATGTATCAAGCACTACTTTCATTCTACTCTTCTTATATTATTAAAAAAAATTTATTGATGGTCATTACACTATAATGGCTAAAAAATTACTTCTGTTGTAGTTTATATATTTGCTACCTAACTTCATGTTACGTTTTGTGAATATGACATTTTCTCTTTTTATTTTTGTGCATTATGATAAGTTGGTAACATTGACACACAATTTCTTTCATTGAATGGTCATTTGAGACGTTAGACATACCAAGAAATTAAAAACCGAGACTCTCTCTTATATGGTTGTATGCAAGGAGAAAGATCTACAGTGTTGACTTAAAGTACTAGCATATCATGATGTGATTGGCGTAATAGATGACGAGAAAGTAAATGGAACAAAGAATTGTTTGTTTAGAATTAAGTTAGCCAAGTTTCAAACCACATAAGTAACCTAATTACATACCATTGTATCAATATATCATATATTATTGTTGTATGTATTCATGATAATGAAAGACTAGGATCGTAGGTATATATAAATAATCAGATTTATACATAAAAAATGTTAAACTAATATCTTGAGTCAAAGATGAATCTAATCATAAAGATTATAACTATAGAAAATATATATGACTTTATTAATTACATAATAACACACACAAAATAACATAAAACGCAACAAAACCCATAATCATATTTTTCTGCAATTTTTAAAACAAAAACCCACGCGTAGCGTGGGTATTCATCTAGTGTTACTTAATAACAATATAAAATTTTAAAATATCATTAACATGCCTCTTTAATATATATTAAATCTTCAGTTTATTAAAATATAAATATCTTAGATAATGATATGATTTGTAAACTTTTATATAATAAATAATCATTAAACTTTAAAATAAAAATAAATCACGGGACGGGTTAAGAAATTACGGAACGAGTTATATTTCGTAACGGGTTTATATGGCGGACGAATTTGAATCAATATTTATATACTGCTTTAATACGGTTTAAATCCCTAGTTTATTAATAATTGTCTCGTGGACTCGTGGTATACCGTTACATAATAACAATTATAAACTATAATGTAAATAAATATTTTATAAGGAGATACAATTTACAAAATATTTTTATACTACCTTTAAAAATAAATTATCCCGCGGTGTACCGCGGGTTAAAATCTAGTAATATACTATAAATTAAACTATTTATAAAAAATTAAAAGGCGTTAAATGTGGGTTTTATAGAATATGAACTTTTAACTTAACACCAATTGGTAATTAGTGAAAACGCTTATATATCTTATATACTAATCATGATTCCTAATATGCCATCTCAAGATGATGTATCTTTTAGCCATTAATTTATCGAATATTAATTTATAACGGTTTTCTTGTACCAATCAACATCCCTTGTTTTTTTGGGATGTGGAATATTATTATCTCTAATAGATTTTGCTGTCATTTCCATGTAAGTTCAAACTTGGCCTTTTATGTTGAATTGAATCCTATCTTAAATCAGGTTCCACGTTTATGTTTATCATTTTCTGTACATAAATAACCAAATAAAAATCAAATATGAATGTGATAGGAATCACACATCTCTTCTCCTCTGTTATGTATCTTCATTATATAAGGCGTACATCCGCTTATGAGAAATCAATCTAATAATAATTTCCTGTCTTTTTATGTTATACAACTCATCGTCGTTCGAGGTGATATTCCTAGCTTGTGATTCACCATTCCCTGAGCTTTCGGTAAGCTTTTGAATATCTCAATGAGTCTCAAGGATCTAGAGGAGTTAACGTTGAATGCCGAACAAATACAAGACGATGTATTGAAGGAGATACTAACACTTAACGCCAACACAGAGTATCTCCACCGTTTTCTCCATGGAAGCTCTGATAAAGAGTTGTTCAAGAAGAATGTACCAGTGGTAAGCTACGATGATGTTAAGCCTTATATTGAGCGTATCGCGAATGGAGGAGAGCCTTCAGATGTCATTTCGGGGAAACCCATTACCGGCTTTTTCTTGAGGTATGTCAAATTCTAAAGATCAACTAGTTGTTATACTTCTTTATTAACAAAACTAGTTATTATATATTTATACTTACTAGCGAAAAAAAGAAAGTGATATATGCTTGTTTTATTATTGGTGTGTGAAGCTCAGGAACTTCTGGTGGGAAACAAAAGATCTTCCCTGTAAACTACAAGTTTTTTGAGGAAATAAATTTCATCTTTGCTCTACGTTCACAGATTATATCCAAGTAATTCTTCATATTTGTCTTCAGTTTTGTGAATTTGTTAATTTTTTAAAAAAAATATCCATCTCTTTAGTTCTGGGTTGTAGGCATATCAAGGATGTGGAAGAAGGAAAGGCGATGGCATTTTTATTCGTTAGACCGCCACTTACAAGCCCCTTTGGTATGCCAGTTTCTTACGCGACAACGGGCTTTTTTATGAGTGATTATTTCAAGAACCGGCCAACAAATTGTTATACAAGCCCTGACGAAGTGACGTTGTGTCTAGATAACAAGCATGCTATGTACTGCCATCTCCTTTGTGGTCTTGTTCAAAGAAACGAAGTTGTGAGTCTTGCTTCTGCCTTTGCTTCTTCTTTGGTTGGAGCAATCACTTTTCTTGAGAATTACTGGAAAGAAATCTGTAGTAATATCCGATCTGGCCATGTTAGCGAGTGGATCTCTGACCTTAGTTGCAGGGATTCTGTTTCTAACATCCTTGGAGGACCTAATTCTGAATTGGCCGAATTGATTGAAGAAGAATGCAACAAAAAATCTTGGAAAGGTATTATCACACGTCTTTGGCCTAAAACAAAATTCATTCAAACAATTGTTACAGGACAAGACGCTCAATACATTCCAATATTAGAGTTTTACTCCGACAAACTGCCTCTAATCTCTCCGAGCTACGGATCTTCTGAGACAATGTTTGGGGTAAATGTGAATCCATTGTGCAAACCAGAAGATGTATCCTACACTTTTATGTCCTACTTTGAGTTCCTACTTGCTGATGAAGGAAACAAAGGTGAAATTGTTGATCTTGTGAATGTCAAGTTTGGGAGCTACTATGAGCCCTTAGTCACAAATTATTTCGGTAAGTTATTTCTGTTTTATTATATAAAGTTTGGTTTTCAAAGTTATTAACTCACATATGTGACAAGTGTCAAGTCTATTAATCAGATTTTGACACGAGTAAGAAAATAATTTATATAAACAAAAAAAAATATACAGAAAAAAGAAAGTTATACAATAAATTACAATATTCAAAGGGAATAAGATTATAATTATTTTATATGAGGGTACATAAAAAAGGAAATAATATAGTAAATTACTATTTTTTTTTTTAAAAAGAAGCATAATTCCTATCTTTTGAAAGATATATTACAAGAAAATTATATATATAAAAAAACATAATTTCAAAGTTGATAACTCACATGATTGAGACATGTGTTAAGTAAAATATAAGATGTTGTCACGTGTCAACTCTTATTTTGTTAAGAGAAATAAAAGAAGTTCCTATTTCGATCGAAAAAGGAAATATACACATAAATAAAAGATAATGTTTGTTTCAAAGTTAATCATTAACGTGATCGTGACACGTGTCAAATCTATCGATCTGATCTTGACACGTGTTAGAAAAGATTTAATTTTTTCCTTAAAGAAATAAACCTAATTTAAAAAAAAACACATTTACATATATTAATTTTTACATGTTTGTATTGTAAGTTTTTTTAATTTAATTTCTCTTAACCAAAAGAGAATACTAACAAAAATATATATACGCTAAGAAAATACATTTAGCATGGATATTAACCAATAAGAAAATAAATGTTGAAGTTGATAATAATATAAGTTATCTAACATTAATTTAATTGGATAAAAATTGTATTTGTCGTTAAACTATTATTAACAAAAATTTAAATTTATTTCTTGCATCCGCCTATTTAGACTAGCCCTCATCTAGTATATATATATATATATAAATTTATCAATTTCAAATAACTATTTCATTTCCGTTTATGGATTTTAGGCTTACACATATATAGAATGGGAGACATTCTACAAGTGACCGGATTCCACAATAGTGCACCCCAATTTAGGTTCGTACGTAAGAAAGGTGTGGTTCTAAGCCTCAACATTGAAATAACAACCGAAGAAGACATTTTAAAGGCGTTGAATCATGCAAAACTCTTGCTTAAATCTTCACTTCTTATATTGAAGGGATTCACTTGCTATGCTGATATCTCCATTCTTCCAGCTCACTACGTTTTTTATTGGGAACTTAAAGCTACAAACATTAATGACACTCTTAGACTTGATAACAAAGTGTTGGTGGACTGTTGTTGTGTAATGGAGGAATCATTTTGTGTTCCTTATCGAGAGCTTAGGAAAAAAAGTGGACCTATTGGAGCTCTAGAGATAAGGGTGGTGGCACATGGAACATTTGATTCTCTCATGAACTTTTTCATCTCCCAAGCCAAGGTGCTTCTGTATCTCAGTACAAAACACCTATTTGCATCCACTCATCTGAAGCCTTAGCGGTTCTTGAAAAAAGTGTTATTGCTCGCTTTTTTAGTGACAAGTCTCCTCCTCTCGGATCAGAGCTTCAGTATTAGTTCTATTTGCTTTGAAATAAAAACTCGTGAACTAAAATATCATCAAACGAGTTACTTATATTGTGTGCATGCTTATTTTGCTGGTGATTGAAATAACTATTGTGTTGTGTAGTTCTAAGTTCCAAATTTAATAAAGGCAGAAAACTTGCAACGTAAGATAAATTCTTGATTGTCGATTTGTAAACACTTTTATCAAATCGATTGAGAGTTTCTTTTGATTTTCTTGGTTAGAATTGATTATCAGAATTTTGTGATTATCAGGATTCCGAGTTTATCAAATCTAGCTAAACTCTAACATATTATCACTTATGTAAAGCTTTTATTAAGAACCACCTGATCATTAGTCGGATTTTATCCGGAACACTGATACAACACAATATATTTGTATTGACTTTGAAAACTATAATACTGACCAATCAATTTGTCCAAGAATTTAAATAAATCAAGTAATTCGTTTATTAACCTAAACGAGTTTTAATGACTAGAAAAAGAAGATAAAACTTTGGCGTTGATCAAAGTTAACAAAGAAGAAGATATATACAAGTCTCCATTACAAAACAAAACACAGCACAATCTTCCAAAACTCAAATGCACTTTTGAAACTTTAATTTATTATATATACAAAAGATATAAGACTTATCAATGATTGGGGATAGCCAAAAGTGTGGACCCAATTACAGCGTGATAATTGCATTGCTTTTAGTTTTTCTCATATGCAAGGATTATGCTATTCATGCATATTAGCATTTCACCCACCACCATTCACATGTTCTCCTATCTCACATGAATTTATATATAAAGCTTATTTATAAAGGGTCAATACTAAATAGGGTTCAACTTCTATTATAATTATCATGTGATCATGAACAAAGTCCATATATATTTATCTTCAAAACATGTGAAAAGTCGGATATTCTTGTCATTTGAGATCAATGATCAACTATGATTGAATCATAATAGAAAACTTTAAATCCTTCTGAATTCAGTTCTTCAAACATTGAATTATCACAAGTTGGTTATAATTGTGTGGTTTAGGTTTTTGGTAAATACACTTTATTTGACGTAGTATGAAAATATTGATAACAAGTTCTAATTTTAGCGAAACATGTTTTTTTTTTTTTGTCGTAAAAAATAAAAATAAGAAATATTACATGTTGTTTAAATATTCCAACAACAACAACAATCTTTTAATATAATGCATAGATACCTACTTATTATAATATATTTTTGTTCTAAAATGATACTTATCTAATTTTAAAATCGACTTAAAAATTAAATTAATTATTTGTCAAAATCTGCCAAAATTCGCCGTAACCTTTAACACTTTTAGTTCACACAAACGTGAAAATTTCTTTATAAATCGATATGAGTCATGGTTTTGTCATACATGAAATCCAGACATAACATAAGAATTTTTTAACGATCATGTACCAACCATTCCCTAACTATATTCTTCATTACCAATCATGATAATATTTCGAATCAATGTTAAATATCAAAATCAGATTACATTATTTAATATCTTCTAAATATAGTGACAGCTCATAAACCTATAAATCCACTCATGATACACACACAAATTGTGTTTCTCACCATCTTAAGTAGATTTGCCGAATCAAGTCGCTAAACTAAAACAGTCTTCGACTTCTTCACCTATCTCTTTCTCTCTCTCTCTCTTCTAGAAAGGCCATGAAAGGACAGAACAAAAGCTCAACATCTTCTTGCAACATCCATCCAGTAGAGTTTATTGAAGGTATATGTCCTCTCTGTCTTAACGAGAGGCTTCTGGTCCTGGCTTCTCTACAGAGACTACGCCCTCCATCTCCTCCTTCCTACCAAACCATCCAAGAACCAAAAACCATCCTTCAAAATTCTTCTAGAAAGAAACCCATCAGAATCTTCTCCTTCCTTAGTTTCTTCGAACTCCGACATCACAAGTCTGATCACAAAAACACCTCCATTATCAGTCCAGAAGGTACTAAACTCTTTTACTTTATTTAGAGAATATATGTATAGTACATAGCCAAATTGTAGAAGGTTAATTATCTTGAAAGCCAAAAATAAACTTCCATTTCCACTTCAACAGATGATTGTACGAATTTATTTTTTAAAATATCGTTTTTTTCTCAAATATGTAGGATACAATACACTATTTACAAAAGTGTAATTTTTTTTTTGAAAGAATGTAAAATTTATTCACCAAAAAAACGTTTTTACAATAAATGCACCTTTGAGGGTCGAGTTTTCAAAATGAGAATGTTTATTAAATTATTTTAATTTTATATATTATTTACATTAGTTTTTAAAATATTATTACCTATAAAAAACTAGACTACAAATAAAAAGTATTCGTTTAAGTATGACAGGGTTTACTTCAAATGTTTCCACTTTATATATCTAAGTAACCCTTTTGCGGATGTTTTCTAAAAAAAAACATAAGTTCTAACTAAAAGAGTAGAAATAATTACCAAATTTAAAACGTTCATATATGTAGAATGTAGTATGTAGAGATTGTGGATCAAACGTTACGAAATGGCTCCATCAATTTTTTTTTTGTTCATATATTCACAGATTCATTCATTTCGATCAACTTCGAAGACAACAGAGCAACTTCATGGGAGAAAGGAAAAGAAAGTTTTCAGCCTTCATGGGATCGTCAATACCAACATGTCATGCTCCACACGAAGAAGGAGATTATTCCTCAGCCCATGCCACGTCCTCTAACATGGAGGAAACGGATTCGTCGGCTCTTACACGTCATCAGTTTCAAGAGCCGGTCTCGAGCATGCCACTTGTCCGCCAAAGTTAAAGGTGAAGATGACTTGAGTAGAAGTTGGTTAAGGCCTTTGTCCCAGACCAACAAGAAACTCTAAAATTAATTACTTTTCAAAATTTACAATAATTTATTTAATTTGTTAAGCTATTTTCTTTTTCTTTTGTCTTACATTGTCTTAGGTTTTTAATTAATTATGTGAAAATCTAAGATGAACACAATCTTTGATTCAGTACAAAAAAACAACCAAACAACCACATATGTCTTTATTCATTCTTTTTTTTGATAGGATGTCTTTATTCATTCTTAAATCGATCTAACGATATATTAACAAGAATCAACGATTTTTCATAACTTAATCATTTGTGGCTCTTCAACTTTTGTTTTGAAGATTTTGTATTAAATAACCAGAACTTCAATAAAGAAAAAAGAAAAAAAAAACTTTAAGAACAAACCTTTTTTATTTAAAAGCCCATATCATAAATTTTTAAGAAAACAGAACTTTTTTGAAAAGGCCCATGTAAGAAACCTCGTTCGCATAGAAATAGCCGCTAAACTAGCCTCAACCTCGGACTCGTCTTAAATACCTCATAAAACACGTCTAGGATGACCTATAAGTGAAAAGCTGTTAAGTTTATGAACCTGAACCTTTGTATTGATCTATGTAACTCAATTACAAGAAGATAAATCCTAAACTCTATCTCTCTACAATGTCATGGCAATTGCAAAGAGACTTTCTATGATCTCATCACGATCGTAGCCTCAGACTACTAACATCTAGAAACATCAAAAGCATGCATAAACTCTTTAAATTGGTAACTCTTCTTATTTATACATTGCTCTCCCTAGCAAGCTCATCACGCAGCCAACACTTCATTGTTCATCTGCTTCCTTCTTCTGTCATGGCGTATCAACACAAGAAGAGAAACCAAGGAACTCCTCGTTAAACATCAAGAAGTTAAGAGGAACCAAGTGTTCCTTACTTGTATGTCAATCTAGAGAAACCTCTCTATAAGAGGCTCATCATGAGAGCTGGGCCGGCCCCTTAGCACAGCTACTTGAAGCAATGGTTTGTGGTCCCTAAAATTTTTGTTGCAAAATTAAGCCCCAAAAAATATTTTTTTTGTTGCAAAGAGATACTCTATTTTCTTGAAATTTTAAGATTTGGTATCAGTTTTTTAAATTTATCTATAAAACCCAACAATTTTTTTTTTGCTAGAGCCCATTTTATTCAGGGTCGGCCCTACATGAGAGTTAGGCTGGATAATTTTCGGTATATCTAGAATATCCAAACCTTATAAGTCGCAAGAAAACAGGCTTGGCTCAATAAATTTGAGGTCCTGAGATGCAAAAAGGTCCCTTTTTCTCATATATTTTAATAAAAGAATACAAGTTTGGACCCTAGTTTTAATGGATTTCATTCAAAAAAAGAGAAATAATGAATGAACCCTGTGTTGTAACACCTCTAGCCAGAGCTGCTAGGAAGTCTCTAGAGATGAAAGGATTAGGAGATGAGAGACCGTGTCATAGATGATGCACTCAAAAATGATTGAAGGAAAATACACCCGGACACGCATTCTAGCCCAACCTTCCTTTCCACATAAGTAACAATAATTTATTTAATTTGTATAAAAAATTTGTTAAGCTATTTTTCATTTTCTTTTCTCTTACAATATCTTAGGTTTTTACTTCATTATGTGAAAATCTAAGATGAAAACAATCTTCGATTCAATACAAAAAAAAACAACCAAACAACCACTTATATCTTCATTCATTCTTAAATCGATCTAACGATATATTAACAACAATCAACGATTTTTCATAACTTAATCATTTGTGGTTCTTCAATTTTTTTAAAAAGATTTGTATTAGATAACCAGAACTCAAAAAAAAAAAAAAAAAGAACTTTAAGAACAAACCTTAATTATTTAAAAGCCCATATTATAACTTTTTAAGAAAACATAACTTTTTTGAAAAGGCCCACGTAAGAAAACCTCGTTCGCTTAGAAATAGCCATTAAACTAGCCTTAAGAAACCTCGGACTAGTCTTGAATACCTCATAAAACACGTCTAGGATGCCCTATTGGGGAAAAGCTGTAAGTTTTTGAACCTGAGCCTCTCTATTCATCTATGTAACTCATTTACAAGAAGATAAACTCTATCTTTCTACAATCTCATGGCGATTGCAAAGAGAGTTTCTACAATTTCATCACGATCGTAGCCTCAG